TTGCATTCCAGTCAATGAGTCGATGCAATCAACTGGTTTTCCTTAGATAGAAAACTGAATCAATCTGACTGGATGATCTGGTTGAACTGTAAAGTGCCTTGAGATGACGTGTGTTGTGGCGTTATATAAATAAAGTGAATTATAATACATATTAGTTGACACACTAAAAACTGTAATCTAATAATTAACAGACAGAGTTTTAGGAATTCATAAAGCATCATAACCTTCAGCACACATTTCATTGTGCAAAGCATGAATGTTGTAGAAAAAGAAATAAACTGAATTGAATAAAAGTTTTTTGGTCTTTTCCTGCGGTTCTCAGTTTAGTCAGACGCGCGCGCGTAAAGATGACTAAACCGTGCATGATTTTTCTCCCGTTTCACTTCCTGTTTTTGAAGATTTGTTTTGCCCCCTTCACCTTCAAACCTCGGATAAATTGACTTTTTCCCTCCTAACAATTATAACCAAACCAAACCGTCGATGTTTGTTAGAAAAAGTTAAAAGAGAACAAGGAAGCAAACTGACAGCGGCTTGTGCTTTACTGCCTTTAACCCAAACACCAAAGTTTACGTCAGGATAAGTTAAAAGTTTAGCTCTACTATATATATATACATACATACATACACACACACATATACACTAGAGTCGTCTGCACTGCAACGAAAAAAGAAAAAAAAATATATATATATAACGTTTTTTTCATATATATAACATATATATATATATATATTTCATATATAATTTATTTATTTATTTTTATTTATAATTTTTTTTCTAATAGCATGGAAGTAGAAAGCTCACCCCACAGCGAGCAGCTGACTCTAAAGAGGAGCACCACTTTGCAGGAGGTTCGGAGCAGGACGGAGGCAGGGAGGTGCAGCCGGACGGAGCGCTGAGCCAGACCGCCAGGAGGAGCGGGAGCAGGACCTTCATCTTCAGCTGCGGTCAGTCTTCACTATTCTGTAGAAAAACTCCCCACAGCGAGACCTCCGACACCGCAGCGATCCCCGCTTTAAATCCAACCCTGCCGCTTCCGCCTAAAGGCTTCTGAGGATCTGATTGGCTGTCGCTCCCAGCGTCACTTGTAACCAGCAGACATTCTGAAACCTCCCCAGCTGCTTTCAACAGAGATGTTTCCAAAGAATAAGGGGATTTCCTGGATGTTTATTCCATGCGGGTTGTAAAGGTTAAGCTGTTTTATTAATGTTTAACTCACCTCTGGATGCATATTGTAAAAACTCAGCAGAATTCAAAGTTGTCTGTCTGAATGTTATGTTACACCATGTAGGTCACTGTCACATGTCTGCACCACAGCTGAGGTCATCATCTCACCTGTAAAATAATAAAACCTCTACACTAAGTGTAGCACATAATAAATAACTTTTCCTGCTGATCGTCACATGGCCATGAGGTAAACAGAGATAACAAAAAGTGCTGACTCAGTTTAACGGTGAAGCACAGTTTAAGGAATGAAGTGATAAACTTATAGGAAAATTAGTTAGTTTTAAAGAAAAATAAGGCTTTAATTTGTCTCCAAAATATTTTTGATGCATAGAATAAAAAAAAACAAACTTCCATTTTAAATTTTATTTCCAGGTGGATCATCTAAATAAGTGGTCCTCCTAACTGTCAGTCATATCTTTACGTAAGGCCGTCCTACGTGTTCGTCCCCCATTAGCTATCATTTTCTACGCATGCGCACTTTCAGGCGTGTATCTGTGGTGAGCTACGGTTTCAGACATTCATTGAAGCTCACCTTTCTCACCGCAGTTCTTTGAAAATGGCCGAGGGTCATAAGAGAAAATCTGTCTACGAAGTGTTTAAGAAGAAAAGAGAGGCCTCAGAAGAGGCAGATATATCCCAGAATACTTTGCGCTGAGAGCTATCCTCGCAAAGCATTCTGGGATTTACTGTCAGAAGGGCCAGCTGTTGTCATAGGCTGTTTCCATCCGACAGCGGCGACTAATAACAAAGATGGCGCAGCAAAAAGTAGTGACCATCTGTCTGAACGGTCATTTAATTCAGTCCACTATGTAGACCCTGCTCTATATAGTGATCGAGGGATTTAGGAGTTAGAGCAGACGTTCGGGTACAGTTAGCTTGAATGAGCTATGAGAACAGCAACTTTTAAACAGAGCGCTCTTCCACGCGTGGAGAAGGAAGGTCCTTCGAAAAATTTGTGAAAATCCTCAACAATACCTTTAAGGTGATAGCTACAAATTTAACTCCTCCAGGCCAGTAGGTGGCAGACTGGCGCTCTTGTTCTGTAGAGTTTGCCAGCCAATAGCCAGGTCCGCTAATGCTAATTCTATCTGTTACATTAATTTATAGTTTACCCAGGTAAAGAAAGAGACTAAACCAGTTGTGTCTATGAAGGAAAACCTGCAAATGTTTTATTTTTTTTTGTATTGCTTTAATTACACATTTTGGAAAGGCATTTGCTCCTTAATTCAGTGGCGATTTTAGACTAAATTACTCAAAATTTACTACGGAGGCCAGTGTATGCCATTGGTTTTTTAGGGGGCCACAGAAACAAACACACACACACAAATATAGAGCTAGGAGTGCATTTATTAATAGTAAGAGAGCCAAAAACCAAGGTTGAAGATCCCTGATTTAACACATAAAATACAGCATCCTATTAGTATGACTGAAGCTTAAAGCTAACTTTGATTTCTAAATAAGTTTACTGCAAAAATTGAAGGCTATTGTGCTCTACAGTGGTGAGCGGTTCA